CTCCTCCTCCTCCTCCTCCTCCTTCTCCTCCTCCTTCTCCTTCTTCTCCTCCTCCTTCTCCTTCTCCTTCTCCTTTTTCTCCTCCTTTTTTTTCTTCTTCTCCTTTTTCTTCTTCTCCTCCTCCTCCTCCTCCTCCTCCTTCTTTTTGTTGTTTTGAGACAGAGTTTATCTGCCTGTCCTGGAAATCACTCTGAATCCAGGCTGGCCTTGAATTCGCAGAGATCAACCTAACTGCCTCCATGGGATTAAAGGTGTGTACCACCACCACCACCACCACCACCACCACCACCACCACCACCTGGCCTTTTTTGTTGTTGTTTATTTCTACTTTTATTTTTATAGAATGTATTTGGAGATGTTAAACTATTGAGAAAAAAATGGATATATTTAAAATGCTGATATGAATAGTTGTTGAGATAATGGTTATGCTAATTAGATTAGAGGTGTCTTTATATTTATACATAGAACAATCAATATTTTTTTTTTCTGTTTTTCGAGACAGGGTTTTTCTGTGTAGTTTTGGTGCCTGTCCTGGATCTCACTCTGTAGACCAGGCTGGCCTCAAACTCACAGAGATCCTCCTGAGTACTGGGATTAACTGCATGAGCCACTGCCGCCTGGCTCAATTGTTCTTTAGAAACAGCTTTTTTGTTGTTGTGTTTTTGAGACAGGGTTTCTCTGTAATAATATCAGCTATTCTGGAACTGGCTTTGTATACAGACTGGCCTCCAACTGATAGAAATCAGCTTGCTTCTGCCTCCTGAGTGCTGGGATTAAAAAGGTGCATGCCACAATTCCCAGTTTATAAAGTTTTCTAAATGTAATCTTTAAGAGTTTAAATATAATGAAATGCTGTTATTATCACTATTGTAACCTCAGGTATTTAAAAGATTTTTGTCTATTAACAATATTAATAATATTTTTGCTTTTGTATATATATTTAAGTATCCTCAGATCTCAAGGGTATGAGACAGGAACTCCTGTGGATTGTCTATTGATCACTTTATCTACACTAATATAATCTACTACCCAGTTTATTCCATGGTTAGGTTATCTACCAACTGATGTATTTCCTAGCAGTTTTAACACTCATTGGTTTATCTGCAGGTTATCTATCTCTAGTCCTATATAAAAGGAGAATTAGACAAGAAAGACACTGCCATTTCCAGCAACCCAAGCCCTGTCTGCATCTCTGTAGTGGAGCCTTTTGGACAAGCCCTACAACCATGGAGGGACCTTCAGGAAACCCACTTCCAAGTCAGCCTTTGCTAGTGAGTACGCAATTCACACGAACTGTAGAATGTTCACTCTTGTCCTTTTTCTTTATATTTAAACCTCCTTCATTTAATGCATAGCTGTACTTGATACAAACTGATGTCCTGTGGGAAGCTGTTAATTGCTTGTTGTTAAAATTTGTTGGAAGAATTTAAAATGTACTTCATCAGTCTATAATGAGAAGGGGTTCTGTGAAATGCACTGCTGGATGATTTTTGTCCTTGTATGGACATCTAGAGAGATCTTCCATAAACTTAGATGGTGTACTTCTGTACTAGTGATAACTGTGTGTCACTGAGGGTAGGTTTGGAACATAAGCATGCTGTGACCATAAGAAAGAAAAGAGTAGCATTCTTCTTATCCTTGAAAGTCACATGAGCTAGATGTCCCAGAAGTCTGGTAACTAGAGCCTTTATTGCAGCAACATTGGGGATCTAGCCTAGGCATATTTGGATTACAGATATTTGACTTTTAGAAACTTTCGCAAATAACTTTAGCCTATGCTGGGATCTAAGACCTAAAAAGGATGGTAGAAAATCCATGAACTGAGAAAATTCTGCATAACTACTAGTAGATTCCTTCCTCTGTGTTGTTTAAATTTTACTTTCTCCCAAAGAGGAAGGCCCAAAGAAGTATGATACCTGAGAAATTACAGAAGAAGAGGGCCCAGGCTGCCAAGAACAAGGTCAAGGCCAAACACCGATCTGGGGTCACTCCTGTTCTTCCTGTGAGGCTGACCAGTTGCATCTTCACAAAGCCTGTGACTAGAATAACTTCCCACCCTGGGAGTAAGACCATGCGCAGTAAAGAAGAAGAGAAGATGGTGAAACCCCGGCAGCTCTGCGCATTAAGGAGACTGCAGGAATATCAAGAAAACAGTAAAGAGGAACAGTTACATCCACTGGATCTTACAAATGCCGTACAAAGAAGTACAGTGGGAACGCAGGCTGGAGCCAGAGTTCCAACAGCAGCTAACGATCTGCACACTGAAGGGGAACAGTTACATCCATTGGATCTTACAAACTCCGTACAAAGAAGTGCCCTGGGAACGCAGGCTGGAGCCAGAGTTCGAAGAGGTGCTATCGACCTGCACACTACCTCGGAGTTCACCTCTGTCCAGCCCCGGAGTTCAAAAAAGAAGGTGCAAGGGACTCCTGAGCCGTCGCCACTATCTTTCTACGGTCAAAGGATAACGACGGCTGTGGCTCTTCAGCTGTCACCTTCTTTCTACAGACAAGGGGTAACTACTGCAGACATCCGGAGACAGACCCGGAGAGTAAACAAAGCCCGGAAGAAACTGGCTGCGGCCTTGGAGGCAGATAGGCTTGCCAGGCAGGCTGAGAATATGGGGAATGGAACATAGCCGAGTGTTAGGAAAACTGAATGAAAACAGAGTGTGGTAGCCTCTGCAATTTCTCCATAAAGGAAGTTTGTATGTCTTTTTTGTTTTATTTTTCGAGATAGGGTTTCTCTGGGTAGCCCTGGCTGTTCTGGAACTCTGGAGACCAGCCTACCTCTGTCTCCAGAGTGTTGGGCTTAAAGGTGCCTCTACCACCCAGCATTACTTGTATGTCTTTATATAGTAACCCTACTCTGATGATGATTGGCCTCTCAGTGTTTGCCCAGTGAGCTAGCAAAAGCACCTGTCTATTTGTATTTGCTTTCACACCTGGTTCCACTACTGTCCCTCAGCTGTCGAATTTGGGAGGGATTTTTAAAAATTCCACAATTTGAAGAAATGTATAAATAAAAATCTACTTTGAGAACTTTACCAGGCAATACACACACACACACACACACACACACACACATAAATATACACAAATCACTCCTTTTAAAGCTCTTTTTGAAAGCCAACAAAATGATCAGTAGTGTTTTAAATAAATGTTTTCAATTTTGTTAGAAATGATCGTGAAAATATCCTTTAGGTCAGCTGTGATCCACAGTAGGACTCTGGAATAGATCCAACAGCAACCCACAAAGCAAGGGAAATTCCTTATTTTATAGCATTTAGATGAAAAGGGTCTATGATTTAGCAGTTAGTTTAGTGAAGCTACTAGGTAGATTACAAAGCCTTCACTTAGGCTAGGCAGGCCTGGCTAGCTTGAAGGTAATCCTCTGTCCTTCCCTACCATGGGACTGCTACTTGCTAGGTGTTTAGCTTCTAGTGATGATACTAGATCACAAGACTGAAACTGGTTGCCTTAGCCCTGGAAAGAGAGAAGCTGCAGCTAGTATGGCTAACCCCCTCTCTAGTGCTATGTCTATGACCTAACAAGTAGATAGTTATATAATATTTGCTTTATTGGGAGAAGAAAAGGGCACTTTACTCAAAATTGTTCAATTTCAGGCTCTAATTTTTTAAAACTTGGTGATTATTGGAATCTCATTATGTGGACCAAGTAGGCCCTGAATTTGATCCTCCTGCCTCAGTCTGATGAATGGTAGGATTACAGGCAAGCATTCCACATCTAACTGTAGTTTGTTTTTTTTTTTTTTCACTTTTTAGTCTACAGGAATAATCTAGCCTGAGGCACTATTTAGTGTCTTATGCTAAGTATTTGACTTAACACATATTAATGAAAGATGATCCATGTGCTGCAGCTTTAGATACCATTGTCTTGGACTTGTTTTGTGGAACTCCCTGTTGTAATCTTAAACTATCAATAAAGGTTTCCATTTTAAATACAAGTCCAGAGATTCTTTTATATGATGGTAATTTGATGCCATAAAGAAATTTTAGATGTGGTTATAGCTATCATTTATCTATCCCTCTATACTAGCTTTCTACCATGAGCTACACCTCCATCTCCTCCTACAGCTAATTTGAAAATAAATTCATTTTTTATTATATAAAGTTACATAAGGTCATTTGAATTGGAGAATACAATGCAGCTGGGTATGGTAGCACACACCCTTTATCTCAGCAGCCTGAATCTACACAGCTAGTCCAGGACAGTCAGAGCTACAGAGAAACCTTGTCTCAAAAAACAAAACAACAACAGCAACAACAACAACAAAAAACCAACAAAAAACTCCCAAACAAAAATCATAAAATAATAATTTCACTTTGACATATTCCCAGTACTTCACTATCCTTCCCCTCCCACAAATCTTTTGTCTCCTGTTATTTTAATTTATACTTTCTTGCCATCACTATATGATTCTATGCATCTACAAAGGACTCACAAACAAAACATGTCTTTGAGACATAAGTATTGCAGATGACATTTTTTCAGTGACATGTCTTGATGTCAGAGCCATTACCTTCAGCCTCACTTTGTCTACATCTTCCTAGATATAAATGAAGTATTTAATGTAATGAACCAGAATTCTATGGACTAGGAAAGAATCCTGAGGGGAGTTTGACTACACCAGGAAGGAAAAATAGCCATGGACATATAATGGTTATTCTTGGTTAACTTGATTAGATGGTGAGATACAAAGCATTTTATTTTTTTTTTTATTTTTTTTTTTTGGTTTTTCGAGACAGGGTTTCTCTGTGTAGCTTTGTGCCTTTCCTGGAACTCACTTGGTAGCCCAGGCTGGCCTCGAACTCA